GGGAAGACACTGTGGAAAATTATCTTGGGGAGGTCAGATGATGACTGTGGAACAGACCATCAATTACTCATATGCAAGTTAAGGCTGAAAATGAATAAAAATTTTAAAAGTCTATGAGATCTAAAATATGACCTTGAACATATGAATTCTGAATCTAGAGACCATCTGAAGAACAGATTTGATGCATTAGACTCTAATGGCCAAAGACCAGAAGAGGATGACATCTAGAACATCATACAAAAAAGGAAAGAAAGAAAAGACCAAAATAACTGTCAGAAGAGACTCTGAAACTTGTTCTTCAGCATAGAGATGAGAAAGCAAATGTGAAAAATGCTAAAGAGATAAGGAAGTCAAAGGGTGGCTGGAGAAGACAAAGTCAAGTATTATAATGGAATATTCAAAGGATCTGGAGTTAGAAAACCAAAAGGGAAGATCATGCTCAGTATTTCTCAAGCTGAAAGAACTGGGGGAGTGGAGGGGAGGGGTGATAATCAAGCCTCAACTTGCAGTATTGAAGGATTTTCTGAACAAAATATTAAATGAATAACAAAGCATTAAAAGAAGATGGAAGGAATACATAGAATAACTGTACCCAAAGGAAAGAGTCCATGTTCAACCATTACTAGAGGTAGCATATGATAAAGAATCAATGGTACTGAAGGAAGAAGTCCAAGCTGCACTGAAGACATTAGTGAAAACAAGCCTCCAGGAATTGATGGCATAAAAATTGAAATATTTCAACAAACTCATGCAGCACTGGAAGCACTCACTCATCTATGCTAAGAAAATTGGAAGACAGATTCTTGATCAACTGATTGGAAGAGAATCATATTTGTGTCCATTCCTAAGAGAAGTGACCCAACAGAATGAGGAAACCATAGAATAATATCATTATTCACATGCAAGTACATTTTTTTTAAAATAAAAGTTTTATTGTGAATTATGTGATAGTTTACATGGGAGAACATTAGTTTTACATTCATTCTATCGTATATTGTCTCATTGCCATGATTACAATCCCCTCCATGCATCATCAACCAACCAAAGGGTATACCCTGCAAACCTGCCCCCCCCCACCCTGGTCATCAACACACAGCCCCTCGCCCTCTCTGGATCTCAAGTCCCCAGTTGCTCCATCTCTCCACGTTATCGTCTCTGCCTCCATCTCAGGCATCACTGCTTCTCTAAGTAGGGTCCCGCTCTCCGCTCTTCTCCACTGAGGGTCCTAGGGACCTCCACTCCTAGACTGAAAAGTTAATTAATCTCCTCCTTGCTATAAAACATCTACCTTTACATTTCCAACTCTTACCATCAGTCCTGATAACAATTATTCACTATTGTATCACAAGAGACCCATCTGCATTTCATTTCATCAGCCCTGCCTAGACAGATTGGATTCTACCTTCCTCCATGCCCTCTGGATCTAGATTCCCTCCTGAAAGCTTATAAGCCAGTCACTTCTTGCCTTTGTAGCCACCCTCCCCTCCCCCCCCCCCATTTTGGGTAGCCAATGTCGAAGTTGGCATCCCTGTCTACTCTGTGTGTGGAGGGGGTGAGAATGATTGCAAGTAAAATTTTTGCCGAAAATATTTCAAAAAGGTTTTCAAATTCACATAAAAGAAAAGTTGCCAGTAATTCAAACTGGATTCAGAAAAGGACAGGTAACTTGGGGGTTTCATTGCTAATGTCAAAAGGACTGTGACTGAAAGCAGAGAATACGAGAAGTATGTTTACTTGTGCTTTACTGACTAAGCAAATGCTTTTGGCTCTATGGATCCTGACAACCTATGGGTAACATTGTGAAGAATGGGTATTCCGGAAACACTTAATTGTGTTAATGAGAAACCTATATGTAAACCAACAGGCAGTAGTTCAAATAGAAAAATGAATGGGATACTGAATTGTTTAAAATCAGAAAAGGTGTGTGACAGTGTTGTATTCTTTCACCATAGTTATTGAGTCTCTATACTGAGCAAATAATCTGAGAAGCTGTATTATATGAAGAAGAATGTGACATTAGGATTCGAGGAAGACTCATTAACAACCTGTGATTTGCAGATGATACAACCTTGCTTTCTGAAAGCGAAGAGTACTGAAAATACTTGCTGATGAAGATCAAAGACTGCAGTTTTTAGTATGTATTGTACCTCAATGTAAATAAAACAAATATCCTCTCAACTGGACCAATAAATAGCATCATGATAAATGAAGAAATGATTGAAGTGTCAAACGCTTGATTTTGTTTGGAGGTACACTGAACACTCATAAAAGCAACAGTCAATAATCAAACAACATATTGCATTAGGCATATCTGCTGTACAAGACTTTTTTGAAGTGTTCAAGAACAAAAATATCACTTTGAGGACTAAAGTATACATGACTCAAGTCATGGTATTTTCAGTAGCCTCATGTGCTTGTGAAAGTTGGACAGTGAATAAGGAATACCATAGAGGAATTGATGCATTTGAATTATGGTGTTAGAGAAGAGTATTGAAAGTACTATGGATTGTAAGAAGAACAAATAAATCTGTATTGGAAGAAGTACAACAAGAATACTTCTTAGAGGCTAGGATGATGAAACTTCATCTTTCATACTTTGAATATGTTAAGAACATATTATCAGGATGTCCATGGAGAAGGACTTCATCTTTCATACTTTGAACATACTTTGAACGTGTTATCAGGATGTCCCTGGAGAAGGACATCATGCTTTTAGTAAAGTGGATAGTCAATGAAAAAAAAGGAAGACCACCAACAAGATGGATTGGCACAGTAGCAGCAGCAATGAGTTCAAACATAACATTAATTGTGAGGACTGCACAAGACTGGACAGTTTTTAAATCTGTTGTACATAGGGTTGCTATGAGTTGGAAACAACTCAATGGCACCTAACAACAATACCAACATCCCTTTTATAAAATCAGATGATTGGAGTATTTAATTTCATATGCAAAATGCCTTCATTGAAATTTATAGATAAGTGAGGATTTTAGATCACTGGAGACTACAGAGCATATAAAACCTCCTGGAGGACATTGCCCCAGTCCTATCTAGCTAGCACTGTAGTGGAGTATTCTAAAAGCCATGCCACCATTCTATCAGGTTAGCTGCTTCAAATGATAGAAAACAGTTTGAGTGTATGAACTTGAGCCCTCTGCTGTGCTTCATTTGCTATGGAATTAATTCCATAATCAGGATGTAAGTCCATGGATGTTAGCTTGGCAAAAGCATTGCAGAAAGGGAAATCAAATACATGTCCAAAGTAAGTTTCTATAGTATTTTCACACAAATAATATACAACTCCCTTGAGCATTAGTTTCCTATGCTTGCTATGTGTGTTATATTAATGGGCCTATTATTTTCAAGGTTGTGTTATATGCAAAAAATATAGTATTCCAATAAGAACAGAGTGTTGCCATTTTGTTATGGAAGTTTTCCAGTGTAATCAGCCTTTCACCTGATCACTCCAGGGAATGGTGCCATATACCTCACTTGGTCAAGCAACTCCAATTCTTTTATTGAATGATATGAATCACATATATAGCCCTCAGCCACTCCTGGGAAACCCTATACAGGGTTGCTGTGAGTTGGAGCCAACTTAACAGCACTTAACAAAAACAACAACAACGTAGTCTGCTCAAACTGAGATACCAATATAAGCCATAGCTTTATTCTTTTTAATAGCTACATAACATTCCATATATAACAACCATTCTTCTTTACTGTACATCCAGATCCCATTACAGATACTGCTGTAATAACTACTATATAAATAATCTCATCAAATACTTATTTTATTCCTATAAGATAGATACCCTAAAGTAGAATGGCTGAATGTGAGATTATGAACAGATTTAATTTTAATATAGGATTTCTGGATTAATAATCCAGAAAAGTTGTGGAATCTACATTCCCACCTTCATTCTCTGCATACACATTTTATGTTTTCTCTCACCTTCTCTGGATAGTATCTGTATGTTATACTTGGTATTTCTCAATTAGTGAGATTAAAGTTTTACTTTTATATGTTTCTTGGTTATTTATATTTTGTGAATTCCCTGCCCATATACTTTAGGATTTCATATATTTAGTACAACATTATCTATATCCCACAGGTTTTAATGTGAAATGTTATTTTTATTTGTTTTTAGATGATCTGTAAAGTGGGTTATGATTTCCACTCATTCAGGGATTATTCAGAAGAGCATTACTTTCAGTATTTCAAATGAGAATTTTGATAACACTGAAACATATGAGAGCCAGAACTCCACAGGACAGGCTTGTTGTTCCAGCTCTTACAAGTTTTCTTCCTTTGACAGGGTGCTGTCTTACCCATTTTCTATCAGTCATTTTAGTGGAATATATTTGAATTTTCCTTCTCTGACAGGTTTCCAATTTACAAGGGTTTCTGGCTTGCAGGCTTTACTGTAATAGTGTGATCTTTTTCTCTTATTTTTAGGTAAGCTGTCATTTGTGTCCTGAAGTTTACATATGTATTTTCATTTTCTTGGAAATTCAGGAATTTCAGTAGTCTATGTCTAGGTGTACATCTTAAAAATACATATTCTAATTCTGCTGGAACTTGGTGAGACTCATTTAACATATGTGTCTTAAAGCAAGTTTTCTGTTATTTCTTTAATTTGTGTTTTTTTTCTATTTGATTTTTTCATTCTTCTGAAATTTTATTATTTACATATGCATTTTCTGTTCTAATTTTCTAATATTTTGACTCATTATTTCTTTTTATGTTTGCTTTTGGTTGTGAAATAATTATCCCACTTTACACTATACTTTATTGCTAAAGTCCTCGTTCAATTTTCTAATTCTCTTAGTAAAATTCCTAGAAAAAGAATTACTAGATCAAAGAAAATGACCTTTTATTCACCCCACAGACTTTTGATGCATCTGGATAAATTGTTTTGTTATAAAGTTATACAACTTTATACATCCAAAGAAGGAAATATGTTTTCATAAAACAAGCATGTATTTTTGTGTCATAGGCTTTGAAATTTCTGAAAACCAGAAGAAACAGGCTGCAATGACTGTGAGAAAAGTCCCTAAACAAAAAGGTAAAGTTGTATTCACCTCCTCGCCCTACACCCTCTGTGTGTGAGACTGGTAAGCCATGGTCTATGTGCTTGCATATTCCTAGGCCTGTTTCTGTGCTGTGATTCACTTTTGTTGGCAGGTGAATGCCCAGGTCCCCAAGTGTTTCTGATGACAGATGGCAAACGGTCTTAAAGGATTAATATTTGTGAATTAATAGTTTAGGGAAATGGTGTCCAAAGACAACTCATTGGGTATAAGAAAATAAATATAGCCTTTCTATAAGGGGAAGAGGGAGAAAAACAGCAATGAAGTTGGGAGCTGGGTCCGACAACATTCAATAGACTCCTGTGAACCTGGAGTGGTGAAGCCGGGTGGAGACCTTGTTGGCCAGCAGTATGGCAAGACCCGGGAACTCCTGAACCCAGCGGCAGTGGCATGGCCACAGAGGACTAGAGTAGAGAGTGAAGCGTCCAGCTGATGTGAAGTGATGGGAGATGCACAGCAACACCCTTACTTGCAGAGAGTACCCACTTGACCTGGCCTCAGTGGCTGAATGATCAGAATTCGACTAGAAGAAAGAAGAGGGAAAATAAGAGTAACCTGCTACAATTTGATGAACTTATGAATGTAGTAGCTCAAAAATGGGCACAAATCTTTACAGCGAGGATCACTCCCACACCCTCGTACACAGGTTTGACAGGGATGGGCAACTTGGACATTGGCTACCCAAAATGGGGGAGCTACAAAAGCTTACAAGCTTTCACGAGAGAGCCTAGTTCCAGACAGGGCAGGGGAAGGTAGAATCTCCACTAAATGGTTTCCAATCTGTTGGGATGGGGCTAATGAAAGGAGATGAGGATAAGAATCTTGTGATACAATAGTGAATAAATGCTACCAGGACTGACTGTGAGGGTCAGAAATCTAAAGGTAGATGTTTTGGAACAAAAGGAAGGGAGTGCCCAAGCGTTGTTGACCGTCCAAACCATAGGCTCTGAGGATCAGACTCTAGCCACCTAGTAGATATAGCAAACTGTCCCTCCTCTGATTATTCAGTAATGCTTGTTAGTAATCTCATACATGAGCCCTGGATATCCACAGACAAATGTAAAAACCTTCCCTAAAAGCCGAGACTGTAAATTCCAAAAAGGCAATCCCTGCCCCATCCAAAAAAAAAAGCTAAAGAGGATAGAGAGAAACACTGTAAACTGATGATATATGGAGGGGATAATAATCAATGTAATGAAACAATCTATATGAATGGTTGAATGTGAAGCTGATGATGTGCCCTGTAAACCCTCACTCAATGCAAAATAAAAACATTTAAACTAAAAAAAAAAAAGAATGGGTATTCCAGAACACTTAATTGTGATTATGTGGAACCTGCACATAGATCAAGAGGCAGTCATTCAAGCAGAAAAAGTGGACAATAAATGGTTTAAAATCAAAAAAAAAAAAAAGAAGAAGAAGGGAGTGATTGATTTTGCAGTCCAGAAGTGGAGGTCCCTGGGACCATCAAGTGACAAAAGCAGAGTGTGGGAGTCTACCCAGGGAAGCAGTGACACCAGAAATGGAGGCAGAGATGATGACATGGACAGATGGAGCTGCTGGGGACACTGGACTCAGGGAGGGAGAGGGGCTGTGTACTGATGGCCGGGGGGCAGGTCCTTTGGTTGTTTGATGGTACATGGAGGGGATTGTAATCATTGCAGTGAAATGAAATATGATAGGATGAATGTAAAACTGATGTCCTCCCATGTAAACTATCACTTAACAATAAAAACATATATATATATATATATATATATATATATATATCCTTTCTATCTCCTTATTTTTACTAAAATTCAAGAGATAGACTAAGATTTACTACTAATTTCGAGATGAAGTTGTTGCTGCTGTTGTTAAATGCCATCAAGTCAGTTCCTGTATAGGGTTTCCAAGGAGTGACTGGTGGGTTTGAACAGCCCACATTGGGTAGCAACCTAGTAGTTGTTTTACAGTGCACAGACAATAGTAAATGCATAGAATTTATTAATAAATCTATTCAAAACGTATGTTCAATTTATTTTCAAATCAAAAGTCCCAAATCTGGTTGAAGAACATCATACTGAACTAAGACAGAGATTCAGATATTAATTTTCCACTTTCTCTGAAGCATGAATTAAAATATATCTACTTCTCACTTACTCAACATTCTTTATTTATGACAATAGTAAAAATTCTGAATTTCAACTATTTTGTGCATCACAGAGGCAGTAGACATTGAGTCAATAGTTGTAGAGTGTTCTCTCCTTCAATGAGGATCCCTGGGCAGCCTCAGGGAAGCTGGTCCAAGCTGTTCCATGCCCTCCACTCCCTTTTGCCAATGGGGGTGCTGTGCTTAGCTACCACTTTGGGCCAGGATCCTCCATGGCCAGTGCCTCCATGTGGACACATGGGCAACATGGAGCCAGTGAATGCTTTTCTGAGTTCCCAGGACCTATGTGGTCTGGGGACTTTAAATGCAACATTGCTGTGGGATGTGAAGGGAGGAAAGAGTGCAGCATTAGAGAGGGTGTTTCATGTCATCCTTAAGTGAGCCTCTACCCTTGTAGATTCAGGTACATGGCCAGGCTTCCACTGACCTCACAGGAATCCCCAAGCCTCCATGACAAGCTCCAGGATGATGAATGCGGTGCTTACAGAGATAGGAGTAAAGCCCTGGAGGTTACTCCATAAGGGAACCTCTGATCCAGCATAGGATGATGGTGAAGTGATCCAGCTTTGTCCAGGCTTCCTTCTCAGAGGAATAATATGTTCTTCCAATGGTCCACGTCTGTCTCCTACAGGTTCTCACTTCTTAAGCTTTTGTCACTCCAATGACGTCCTTGCTTCCGTGGTATCTCTTTACTTCATCCCTGATTCTGTTAAACATATATGAGACTGGCTGGTCTTTTCACTGAGAACAATTAAAGCAAAGAAACATCCACAAAACATCCAATCAGAAAACAATCCTGTTAACTCATACCAAGTCTTTTTTTCAGCTTCCTTACCCACTTTGTCTTTGTCTTCTGGTTATTCTTATCAGGCCCTCTCTTATCTCCTAAAACTTAAACACTGTTTCACCTAAACAGCTTTCCACTTTAAGAGAAATATCAGTCTATAGAGAACTCTTTTAGTTTCAAACTTCCAAGAAGTCTTAGAAGTCTCCTTTATTTCTGTTTCTGGTCTTTGAGGCTCTCCAAGTCCTGGGCCATGGTGATTAAGATATTTTGAGACTCAAGGTGCTATATGTGTGAAAGCTTAAAGAAACAGGAAATCAAATACCTGTGAAACCCAGATTCCTTAAGTTTCCCAGTAATCTTTCACTGAAAATTATGGGGAACATGGTTGTTAAGATTTTTTTCAGTGCAGTTGTCACTGTTGTTGTTAAGTGCCATCAAGTCAGTTCCAACTCATAGTGACCTTGTATAGGGTTTTGGACGAGCAGCTGGTGAGCTTGAAACACCAACCTTGTGGTTCAAATTGACCTTGCAGTCGAGCACATTTTGTCTTTACAGTGCCTTAGTCTTAGGCTTCTTAGGAGTTCTGGGCCATAACCCCATTTCAGTTAGTCTGCCCTTATGGAGCTCCCCAGGGCCCAGAGCATAACCCCCATATCCAGAGACTTTAGGGACAGAGTAGCTAAAACAATACTGAAAAGAAGAACAAATAGAAAACATAAGTCTATCTGATCTCATTATTTATTAGATGTTGTTGTTGTTAAATGCCATTGACTCAGTTCCAACTCATAGTGACCCTGTATAGGGTTTCTGAAGAACACCTGGTGAACTTGAACTAGCTGCTCCTCAGAAACCCTGTACAGTTTCACAGTGAGTCAGAACCAACTTGATGGCACTTGACAACAACAACAACATAGTAAATGTAAAATCCCATTGTGGCACTGTAAGATAAGCCCTGGACTGCTAACTGTAAGGTCAGTGGTTCAAGCCCCAGCTGCTCCTTGGAAACTCTATACAGGGCCATTATGAGTTGAACTCGACTCTAGAGCACTTAACAATAGCAATAACAACATAGTAATCAAGGAGTACAAGTGTGGTGATGTATGATAAGCTATGGACCTCTAACCACAGGGTCAAGGTTGGAAACCTTATACAGGGTCATTATTAATTGTAACCCACTCGGACGGCACTTAACAAAAACAACAATAGTAACCACAACAGTGTGGTGTTTGCAGAAGGATAAACACATTAGATCTGTGGATTAGAAGAATAGAGAATCCAGAAATAGCCTCCCTGTTTTTTGGTAATGTTATAAAAATGGATTACTAGAAGAGGGTTTATCTTTTCCAAAACTAGAGCTGAAGCAATTGGATGTTCATAGGCAAAAGAAGAATAAGAAGATCCTAAACCCACCCCTATACAAGAAATTGTTGAAATTAATCAGGGACTCAAATGTAAAATCTAAAACTAAACAACCATTTTTTAAAAAGTTAAAGATTATGGCTAAGCAAAGAAGTTCTTAAATTTGACACCAAAAGCCTGATACACAAAATCAAAAATTGATTATGTGGACCTCATCAAATTTGAAGATTTTGCTCTAAGACTCTGTGAAGAAGTTATAAAGACAAGGAGAAAATATTTCCAAACCACATATCTGACAAAGAACGAATATCTAGAATATATACTGTTGTTGCTGTTAAGTGTTTCAAGTCAGTTCCGACCCATAGCGACCCTGTATAGAGTTTCCGAGGAGCAGCTGGTGAGCTTGAACCACCGACCTTGCAGTTCAAATGGCTGTGCAGTCTGGCACATGAACCCACAACGCCACACCAGGACTCCAGAATACATATAGTACTCTCAAAACTCAACAATAAAGGCATAAACAGCAAATATACCAATTAGAAAATGGATAAAGGACAGGGCAGATAGATATTTCACCAAAGAGGATATCATAATTGCAATTCAGAAAGTGAAAAGATGTTATATGTCATTAGTCATTGGAGAAATGCAAATTAAAACTACAATGAAATATCACTAGTCACCTATGAGAATGGCTAAACGAAAAGACAAAAAATGCTGTCCAAGATGCAGAGAAATGGCTATTCAAACATTGTTTGAAATTGAAATGGTACTACTTTGGAAAACAGTTTGACAGTTTCTGTAAAAACTATAAAACTACCATAAAACTGAATAATTACACTCCTGGAAATTTATTCCAGAGAAATTGAAATTTATGTTCAAACAACAATCCTGTAAGCAGATATTCATAGTATAATTGTCAGAACTGGGAACAACCCAGATATCTTTCAGTGGGTGAATGAGTAAGCAAACTAGTATTCGTCAATAAAAATGAATGAATTATTGATACACTTAGTAACTCAGGTGAATCGTCAAGAAATTATACTGCTTGAAAAAAGCCAATTCCTAAAGGTTACAAACTATATGATTCCATCTGTGTAACATTTTGAAATGACATCCAGATTAGAAATGGAGATTAGATTAATGGTTGTGAGGAACTAAGAAGAAGGTGGGGATAGGAGAGAAGAATGGTTATAAAAGAGGAGATCCTTGTGATGATGGAAATGTGTATCTTGACTGTATAAATGTCAGTACCCTAGTTGTGATATTGTACTATATGAAGGTAATTAATAATGTATTGCTACAAAATCATAGAAGCCTTTATTAAACAAAAATATCAAATGTAAAACTATTGTTCCTCAACATATACTCCATCTAGGTCTATACACTTCTGAAGGTGTTGTTTCCATATCTCTAACTCTTCCTGGTGTGATGCTGTAGGATAAGCATTGGACCACGAGATCTGTTAGAAGAGCAGTGTTGGCAGTTCAAACTCACTAGCCGCTCTTTGGAAACCTGATACAGGTTTGCTATGAATCAAAACTAACTCAACAGCACTTAGCAACAAAACAAGTCTCCCTGAAAGAATTCTGCTTTCTTCTATTTATACCAAGTCAGAAAACTGGTTTGGCATTCTCAAGGGACTCAAATCGTCTTCTGTTTAAATGTTCTTTGAGTATGGAGATCAAACAGAAGTCTCAAGGAGCAAGACCAGGACTGTAGAGTGGATGGGGTAAGGTATCCCAATAAAATTCTGTGTGCTGTCATGATGGGAAAGAAATTCCATGGCATAACTTTCTGGTCTTTTTGAACAACAATGCAGTTTTCAATTTTCTTAAAATTTTCCCTAATAAGTCCCTATGATAATTTTGTATCCTTTGAGAATATCTATCAAGATTACCCTTTTCAAAAAATGAAAGAAAAAAAAAAAAAGCTACCATAATATTTCTTAACATTCTGAGCTTGATTTAACTGGCCCAACAATGCTCTTGCAAACCCCTGTTTTGCTTGTATCTTTTTTTTTTTTTTTCTTTTTTGAAGGCACCTTTAATGAAACTAACACAAGTGTATTGCTGAGAGAACTTGTCTGCAGTTCTCCACTGATCACAGAGAAACGTTTTAAACACACTTTGTTTGGAATAAACCCATGCATGTACAAATTAGAACCCTAGTAGCAATACTTTGGACTTGTTCTCATAGCTTTGCAAGATGATACTATTGGGAAAACTGAATAAAGTGTATACAGGATTTCTCTGTATTATTGTTATTATTATTATTTTACAACTACATGTGAATCTACAATTACCTCTAAATAAAAATTTAAATAAATCCAAAGAGTATTCTAAAAAGTCCCACACTAATATTTGCATTTTTTTTTCTGATACCCTCATATTTTTGGCACTTCCTACCTTTCATAACTGGCTGTTAAAATAGAAATTGATTTTTCCCACTGAAGTTCAAATGGTTGATGATGTCTTAAGCTCTGGTAATGTAGTGGTTACGAGTTGAGCTGTTAACCTCAAGGTCAGTATTTCAAAACTACCAGCAATTCTGAGAGAGAAAGGTGCGACTTTCTGCTCCCGTAATGATTTACAGTCTCGGAAACCCTATGCAGGGTCGCTATGAGTCAGAAATGACTCCATGACACACCACTACCACCACTTCCAGGATAATGGGATCAACTCATCAAAGTCAAACAAAGAATTTATAGTGGTGGACTTTCCGACACTGGCCAACAGATTTGGAAGGTATGTTGGAAAAGCAGAGAGACTTTTTTTGGACATGGCTGAACTATGCTACACACCTCAATCTATTCTGCTTTAAATATAGATTAGGGCTAAACTTTGTCTTTAATGCAAAAATGGATGTAACCATATACTGACAGAGAACTTTCAGAGGTTCAAGTCAGATTAAGAAGAAGATGTGAAACAAGGGATATCCTTGCTGATGTCAGATGAATCCTGGCTGAAAGCAGAGAATACCAGAAAGATGTTTACCTCTGCTTTATTGACTATGCAAAAGCTTTCAATTATGTGGATCATGACAAGCTATGGACAACATTGCAGAGAATGTGTATTGTGGAATGCTTTATTGTGCTTATGAGTAATCTGTGCATAAACCAAGATGCAGTTGTTAGAACAAGGGAACACTGAATGGTTTTAAATTAGGAAAGTTGTGTGCCAGGGTTGTATTCTTACACAATACATATTCAGTTTATATCCTGAGCAAATAATCCAAGAAAAAAAACATTGCATCAGTATTGGGAGAAGACCATCATTAATAACCTGCCATATGCAGATGATACAAGCTTGCTTACTGAAAGAGAGGAGGACTTAAAATACTTACTGATGAAGATCAAAGACCACGGCCTTCAGTATGGGTTGTACCTCAATGTAAAGAAAACAAAAATTCTCCCTACTCGATCAATAAACAACATCAAGATAAAAGGAGCAAAGACTGAAGTTGTCAAAGACTTCATTTTGCTGGGATCAACCATCAACACTCATGGACCAGCAGTCAAGAAATCAAATGACATATTGCATTAGGCAAATCTGCTGCACAAGACCTCTTTAGAGTGTTGAAGAGCAAAGATGTCAGTTTGAGGACTAAGGTGTGCCTGATCCATGCCATGATATTGTCAATAATGTCATATGCATGTGAAAGTTGGACTGTGAATAAGGAAGACCTTAGAAGAATTGCTGCATTTGAGTTATGGTGTTGGAAGAGAATATTAAAAGTACCAGAGAATGCCAAAAGAACAAACAAATCTGTGTGGGAAGAAGTACAGCCAGAATGCTCCTTGCAAGCCAGGATGGCCAGACTTCATCTCTCATACTTCGGATATATTATCAGGAGGGACCAGTCCCTGGAGAAGGATATCATGTTTGGTAAAGTGGAGGATTAGAGAAAAAGAGGAAGACCCCCTCAACGAGATGGATTGGCACAGTGACAGCATCAATGGACTCAAATGATTATGAGGTTGGCCCAGGACTGGACAGTGTGTTGTTCTGTTATGCATAGGGTTGCCATGAGTCAGGACTAACTCCATGACACCTAACAATAACAACAAACTTTGACTTAGGCCCCCTGGTTCCCAGGATCCTCCATTAATGTAAATTTTGCTTTGATGGTTGCAAACCCATGTACAAAAGTTGAGGCCTTATTCTTAATGTCATTGAAGCTTTATAAAGTACCATTGTTTTTCATGAAGCCTATCTTCTGCTGGTAAATTTGTTTTCTTTAATATCAATGCCATTGCCCTAATTAATGTGGGATTTATATCTCTCATTCAGAGGCCAAACACTGAGTGACTTTTACCTTCAGCTTTCTTAGAAAACTATTTTCCTCTTGGGGTCTTCCCTGATGTCAGTAGTTCTTAACCAAACTCCTTTTATATTCCCAGGGAGGGTTGATGAGAGATCAAGCCTTGCAAAATCGCTCTGGGATAAAAGTCACAGTATGTGGTTTCTAGTCCTTGCTTTGTCACCAACTTACCACAAGACCTTAATTAAGACATTTATCTTCAGATCTTAGTGTCCTTATCTGTGAAAACACTGATGGCAACTCTCCAAGTTTGTTGTTTTTGTTGTTAAGTGCCATCGAGTCTTAGTGGTACCTAATTACATGGGAAATTCAAAGTGTTTCAGTAATAGTCATACTATTCATAAATATGTCAGAGAGTTTCTTCCCTTGTATGATTTTCAATTCCATTTTACACTATAAGATAGGTTTCCTTGAATTGTCTGCCCAGAGTGTTCACTGGATTGTTTGAGAAGTCCCTTCCCACCTTGCTACTACCTAACGTGTGCCTTTTCCCTTTGTTCTCTAATCTACTCTAGGTGTCAACTCTGCCCGCTCAGTTCTTCCTTCCTACCCACCACCACAGGACCCATTAAACCAGGGCCAGTACCTGGTCCCCGATGGCATCGTTCAGGCGCAGGTCTTTGAGCTCACCGAACCCAAGCGCAGCCAGTCACCGTTCTGGCAAAACTTCAGCAGGTTAACCCCCTTCAAAAAATAATAATATAGGAAGGCAGATAATTTTAAAATAAAGAAATAAAGTACATAAAATTATATTTATAGATGGATTTTTTTTTTTTTTGAGACGCATTGTTGAAATCTATATGTGTGTGTGTATGAGTATAGATTATATATCTATATATATATACATATATAGATATATAGATTCATATATGTACACACACACCAAAACAGTCGCTTGACTGTATGTATGAATATACACACATACACACACAAAGAAGGACCAAAAACGTTTTCTGTTGTTTTTGGGAAGTTAAGTTTGTAGCTAGTAGAAAGAAGTACCAATGACTACCAAACATGTTATCCTTCTTAAAATTTTTAGTTCTTACCCTACCCTTCTCCCCTTTTCCTCCAAAACTTGACATTTCTAATTGTTCATTTTGAGATAATCTTGTTGAGATAATCTATTTGCTCTCCTGTGAGTGATTCATTGCCTTGTCATTATTACCATAGATGTGTTTGTATTAGTTTTTTCTTTTCCTGATGATACTGATGCGGATTACTTTAATTTAATTTAATGTGATTGAGTTTGGGGGGCTGGGATTTCTTTTTTTCCTCTTTCACTCTTCACTGGGTTCCCATTTTTATGCCTCTCCCTCAGCTGACCATCTACAAATGTTCCTACAGCCCTATAGTTGTCCCCAACAACCTTTTCCCAGCATCCTCTGTTCTAAATCATGCCAGTCTGGACATGCTATTTTGTGCCCTGTGATATAACTACTTGGTATTTCTACTGCTTTCACTGTGTTTTAGATGTTGCATAGGGATCAAAACAAAACAGAAGCAAAGGAGTGTCTGAGAATAATGCCCGAGAGGACTTCTATTAAAGGAACATTCTGTATATGGACTGTTTCTTCGCCTAGTACTGGGGGTTCCAAGTTGCAGCATTGGCAGGTTATTTCACTGTTGTTTGGACCAACTAATCTCTTTTCAAGCAGCTTTGGGTCTCCTGCTCTGGATCTCCCTGGGGGAAGCGATTTACCTGGTTCCCAACACCAAGTGGTTTTAAGATTGCCCCCTCACAGCAAGCAATTAAGGGGCCAGGTCATCCTTGCTCCCATTTACAGATATTTTTCAGACAGCACTGACAAGTATCTATGCATGGTTATAAGATAGAGCCCACCTAGCCAAGATCATCAGCTTCCTTCCAGTTACTTTCTGGACAGGGTCTAAGACTGACAATTTCCTTCTACGAGAAAGAATAGGAATGAGCATAGAAAAAGACAACTTTGATACAAGATATGTACACACAATATCTACCACCACAGTTGTGTGAGACTTCTCCCGTTATTAGTAGATGACATGGACAATCTTCCCTGGCTCCTTTGGTTTTCCCTGCCCTTTTTTTTTCTGTTCTCCTTACACAGGAGGATTGTTGGTGTTGGAATAGTTAAAGCAGTTCTGACATTCAAAGAAGTCCCTGTTTCCAACATCTTTCTGTCCCAGTAGATTCAAGGCATGAAAGTAAAGATCCCAGGGACACTTTTCCTGTATAAAAAGTGGCTGAAGCAGAGATGCTGCACTCAGGCTCATTTTTGGAAGACTGTTCACTTGGGCAAAACTAAGTTATCCCACAAAGCAGCTAGCTTTCTGTAGGTGCCACAGTACATATTCCCCCCACCCCCACCCGAACATGGCCCTGTGGGTGAACAGACCTTGAAAAGTCAGAAGAATTGAGTACGTCATAAGAGTTGTTGGGTCTGTCCTAGATCCCATGGGAAAACATTTCATTTTGAAAGGACCCTCACTTACCAAGCATAGATGGTTCTGCTACTTCTCTATACCTCCTAAAACAAACCAGACCCTGCCCAGTCTGTAAGTCTTTCCTCTGTGGAAATCAAATTGCAAGTTTAAGTTTCCATTCAATCACACCCAAGTCAGACTGTAGAATAAGCCAATGATGACCCTGAGCTGGACAAAGGTCCGGGGCTCAGGACTGACCACCACTGCTCAGCACACAACCCAGTTACTTAAGATCTCTTGCAAGGGACCTGCTGCTCTGTACCCAAACTAAAATGTCCCACAAACAAGCAGCATCTATCAGTACCTATGTAGGTCTCCTTCTCCTTTCCACTCTTTCCTCCATGGTTCAGTGATGACATGTTTCTCCAGTAGCTAAAACACACCAGGAACAGATGCTTAGACATGGTCCTGAACCTATCAGACCAAATATATCTTGGTCAAACTCCCACTTCCCTTCAGGACCTATACCCAGACCTCCAGTATCAGGGACATCACTTCCTGCTCCCACCTCTCTTCCATTCAACCAAGTGGCCTCACCAGATGCCAGTAACTTGTGAAAACAAGAAATCAGTTTGCAATTGGTTGAAACAGTCCCTCAGTTTATAGTAACAAAGTGGACAAGTGGCCAGCAACCTAAAAGGGAACCCCATTACCTGGGTTCAGGGTATCAACCTAGTCTGTGAACTCGCAGCATTGCCATGCCTAAGAACTCTCTAAGGTCTCTGTTTTTGCATGGCCCTAAGATCCCCTTTCCTCAACTCACAATGAGGCCCAGATTTGCTCTCCAAAAGGCTTGCTAGTATGTTCTGTAGACCTTGCTGTGAGGTGTTCCTGACAGAAATCCAAGCCCTCTTTTTCCCTGTTTCACTCTTATTTCTCTTTTTATATCTTTAACTAATATATAAGGACTGGAACAAGAGGATTTTAACAAATCTAGTGTTAAGCCAAATAGTGAACTTTTAGTATTCTTTTTTTGATGGGGGGAGGTGAGGGGGTCCTGGGATGGATGGATGGGTAACAGTGATTTTGATTACCCCTGCTGCTCTGCACTTGCCAGTTTATTCTTTTTGTTTCTTCTATATGACTGTTTGACCCTGTCAAACAAGTGTCAAAGTTGTGTGTTTAAAAAAAAAGTGTTTAGCAACAACAAAAAGAGAGATATTGTAATGACATAAAGCCTTATGAAAATATTTATGGAGTTCAATAAATGAAGTAAAAAGACACCTCCAGGCATAGCTCTTGTTCCATTTGTGTGTGTGTGTGTGTGTGTGTGTGTGTGTGTGTGTGTGTGTGTGTGTTGCCAATTGCAAGCTAAAGGAATTTGCCTGGTGTGGGGAAAAAGTTCCTAATATCAAGGAGGGCAGCTTACCTCAACCCAGTCTTGGCCTTCCAGTCCTGCTTTACCATTCTCAAGCATCCTAGGTACTGTTCATGATCATCCATGCCTTTTATGACAGAATTAAGTCACAAGAAAAAGGATTTGTCTATAACAATTGGCACACATTAAGTATTTTTATCAATGAGATTCTTCATGTCACCTGGCCCTTTCACAAGACTTGAAGACCCATTCTCGGCCTCATTCATTTAGCTTGCAGCTGGAGACCTAAATATCTGCACCTGAGCACTCAGTGAAGCTTAAAATTTGTCTTTTGGGTCCAGCCAAACATTACAGCACTTAGGAATCCTCCATGTGCTGATTCCTTCTCTGTGTCTCTGACTCAGTCTCTTCAGAGGTAAACACTTCTTTATACATTCCCCAGAGTGCATTGTCCTTTTGTTGCTGCCATCTTATTTTCACTTGAATGTGGAGGTTCCTTACTGCCAATGAGGCCTCCATGTAGTGGCTTCTTCTGCCTGTCAGAAACCCAATAATGAGTCTATCTCCTATTGCCTCCACTGCCTTCCTCCAGAGCAACTAAACATTTACTCCAATAAAGTGCTTCTTTACTAAAAGGGTTCTGATTGTTATTCTAAGTTAAAGAGCTTGGGAAAGGAGGATGGTGCTGTGCCTCTGGGTTAAGTTTATTTTCTATATTTAAGTTTTGGGAATGAATACCCATAAGCATTTAATATTAAAAGTTATGATTAAATTCTCCTCTTCTTCCATCACTCTCCCTCTTTCTCTATTCCTTGTCTGACTCCTCATTTTCCCTGTAATCTACCATCTCTTTTCACAAAAATTAAGTCAGCTCTCAGGAGTCCCTTCTATATCTGGCCCATTCCCAGATCCCTGCCTACAACCCTCCAGCTTCCAGAAATGAATGTCAATTACCTCTTAAAGAATATGGGGATTGCATGAGGTCTCAGTGTTCCCTGACTACCTCCTGAGGGTCCTGGGGATAGGGAATCGGGAGGCAAGTGGTAAGGTTTTACAATCTGAGATGCAGCTCTTCTAAGGTACCTAAAATCAAACACACCTTGTCACCAGAATGCATATTTATTTCTGAAAGCCACATTTGATCCACATGACAAATCATATAGTTTGTTATTATGAATTCTTCTCTACTGCTTACAAACTATTTTTCTAATGGCATTAGTATGTTTCTTTACTAAAAACATTCCTACCCTCATATTTACTGAAAAGCCACTGACAAGAGTATCGTGTATAATTTTGCTTCTTTAATTGAAAACTTTATCACCTCTGGGGACAGAAGACTCAGTGGATTTAAGGTATTTTCAAGAGGCTTTTAAAAGGTGAGACCAGTTCATCTGAAGACCATTGCATTGACAATGATAGTTTCTTCTATATTTCCCTCAGGGTCTTCTGGGAGGCTCAAGATGGGGAGAGGTGGAGTGTTCAAAATGGCCAGAATTAAAATGGAGAAATGAGACTAACCCTAGCTTCCAGACATGGAAGGTCTCTTAGAAGAATACTGGGTCATTCCTATCCAGGGGTAAAGTTCCTACCAGACCTCATGAAGTAGGCTGACAACTTGCCAACTTGTGTAAATACAACAATTCCTTAAATTATTTTTTAAAAGGAATTGTTGTATTTGAAATCTCTTTTAATTGTTTTATATGAGGTTTCATTTAATCCTTATAAATTAAAATCATTTTTATGCATGTGAGTGGAAGTAAGGGAAAGTCAGTAATGAAGATATGGGCTGAGTTTGATCATGTTCCATAGACTCCTGCTGAGAAGTTTGGGGAGACTTGGGAACTCCTAACCAAGGAGGGCTGAGAATGAGCATCTAGCTGATATAAAGTAGGGAAAGAAACATAAGAATGCCTAAACTTGCAGATAGTACCCATTGACCTAGCTTTGATGACTTGACCAGATATCGACTAGAGGAAGATTTGATAAAAGTACCAAGTGTAAATTGCTACAATTTGATGAACTT